TAGGCTTTCGAATAAGTGAACTCAACTCCAAATTCACCAGGAACCGGGGTAAATCAGAATTTCACAAATTCTAAGTCTATGGCATCCTAGTTACGTATAACCTTATTATATCCACTTAGCAACCATCAAATTAGTAATGAAGATCCTTTTTAGTTCTCAAGTAAGTAATTATGGTAACACAAAACACCCCTATGTTTTTTTTTTTTTTTTTTTTTTTTTTTTTTTTTTTTTTTTTTTTTTTTTAGTCTTCAGTTTTGTTATAATGTTCTCATTGTGGTATTGTTGGTAACTTTATAGAATTGTTGCTACATCACAACCATTCTTGGGCATATGCTAATCACTCCTCGGACCAACATAGTTGATCTGGCTATGCCACTCCCAAGACTGACTATACATCCCCAAGCTTACTTGTGATATTCAACAATCGTAATACTTTTGTTCTTGTCGTTGTGACACCGATTTTAGTATGAATGCAGGCACGTATACTTACTTAAGTATTTTATTATTTAGAAGTATAAACTCTAAGTCAGAGTATTTTTAATCCCATTGTATTTATAGTTAGTATATCTTTTATGGGTTGATATACTCAATTCACTATAAACATTGCTCTGATACCAATCTGTCACACCGCAAAACCGAGAATGGCGGAAATGTTCTGGGGCGGAGGACATCATGTAATGTATCACAACAATGTAAAGTAGTAAACAAGCAACAACATCATCCATTGCATTAAAAGTATAAATTTCAAGTACATGTGTGTTCTTTCATAATATACAACAATAAAATGAATAATCAGAAAATAAGACGAGTCTGGACTGCTCCGTCTTCACAAAACCTGGTCGTCGTACCTGTCTATTTGCGACCTGAGAATACAAGTTATTTTGAAAGCAAGTATCAGCCAAAAAGCTGGTGAATTCATAAGTATTAATGTGTTTTTGATTTGTAAAACTTGTAATGAAAGACTTGATATTGTTCTGAAAGAAAGTTTGTATAAGTGTGGAAATGTTTGTAAGTAACTGAAACTGTTTGGTAAACCCTAGAAATCCCTATGATTCCTATTAGTATAGATGAAATCTTCTACCAAGACATAGTTGTTTTGAAAGTAGTCTTCTACCAAGACCCGACTGTTTTGAAAGTAGTCTTCTACCAAGACCCGATTGTTTTGAAAGTATTATCAATATAAGAAATTGTATCCTGTGGTACTAGGATACTCAAATACAATTCACCTCATTGGTTATGTGGATGAGTCACAAGATAATGGTAATAATATAACTAACTTACGTATTATCCCTTTATACTAGGATAACTAACAATGTTAACTTTAGACATTCGTAGATGTACATTTACCTCTGTTGCTAACAGCTGGGTGTAGGAATAGTTAGTCCCTTAAAGTATACCTGTAATGGTATCAACCAAAGACATCCGTGGATGTGCATTTACCTCTGTAGCTAACAGAGATTCTAGGAATGGTTAATCCCGTAAAGTATCCTTTGGTACTAGGATATAAAGTTCAATCTATCTCGTCGATGATGTGATTGTATCACAAGGTAAAGATAGAAAGGAGAATTATATAACAGTATCTAGACATATAATATGTAATAGTAATTTGCCATATAATATCTATGTAAAAGTATTCATGTATAAGTATTCATGCAAAAGTATTCATGTAAAAGTATTCATGTAAACGTACTCATGTAAGCGTATCTATGTAAGAGTATCCCTATAAATATATCCATGTAAGAGGAATCTCCGTAAGAGTATCCCTTCATATAGCATGTAGTCTAGACTCATGAATGAACTGAATCTTGTGTAATTTCTTGTAATAGCAATAATGTTTTGTATCCCCTAAACTATTCCTATAATAGTTTACTAGAATGTAATTGTTGAGTGTCCAAGTAGGTTTATACACCCTTGTTACCCAAGAGCGTCAGAACAGAATTACTGATGGAACATTTATGACTATATATGTACACATGATATATAACTAATATTTAAACGACCTTCGGACGGGTACCCGATATCCCAGCAGACCACATCCAAATTGAGGAAAAGGAAACAGGGTGGATAGCCTTGCTAAGTCTTTTCAACATTTCTTATATAACTATACATATAGAGGCATCCAATTTATAATATAAAAGCATTAAAGTAGTTTTGTAAAACAGTTGAAAAGTTTAATAAAGAATTTGTGACTTGATGTCAGTTTATAAAACGATTCGAAAATAGTTGACAAGACAGTTTAAGTGTAAGAATTTGTGACTTGAATGTATCTCCTTGAAATAATATTTCTAGTATGTAAAAGTTCGTGATGTTCTCGTAAAACTATACCTATTATAGTTTTCTAAAAGTGTGTCTCGTTTGTATAGAAATCCCTAAGTGAAATGCTCGCTTGTTATGAAAAGTATAATTTTTGTAGTGCCTAAGATGGACACATATACATACAGTATAAGCAGAGTGTTTGATTTATACATATATAACAACATTTTTCATTTCAAAAGATATGATGTTATCGTGATATATTTTGCATACGAAAGTTTCCCTATAATAGTTATGAATCACATATGATTCCGTTGATAAAAAGTTTATAATAAAACTTCATGTAACACACGATAATAATTGTGTGTTTTACTTGTATTCCCCCCCCCCCCCCCCCCCCTTAAAAGCATATAAAATCATTTATAAAGCCTTTAAAAGTGTGGATTAGAAGGGTATGAACTCACATGATTGATTGAAGAAAGCGCGACGAAAACCGAGCATAACTTCTACTCGAGAGAGCAGATCTCTCAAGATTCTCGGGAATCTCGGGAGCGTAAAACTTCCTTCCGTGCATGGATATGTAAATCGGGACATTGGGGTGGCTCCGAGAGTTGAAATGCAGAGCTTCGGCGCGAGAAGGGAAGGAGATTAGCAAATATGCCGAGACCCTCGCATCCCTTTTATAGGGGCTGGGAACCAACCTCATACGCTGAGCGTACACTCGTACGCGGGGTGTACGCGACATCATGGATGACCGCATCCTCGGTCGAAGCATCAGAGCGACGTGGACGTACCGGAGCCTAGCATCCGAGTACGCTGGGCGTACGAGGGTACGCTGGGCATAACCTAGATTGGTCCGATGACTCCTCCTTCGGATAATACCGGATTTTAATTAAATTATATATTTTAATTATTAATAAACTTCAAAAATTCATATCTTCCTTATACGAACTCCGTTTTCAACGTTCTTTATATCCACGAGTAGGTGAGACTACGATCTACAACTTTCGTTTAGACTTCGTCGGCTAATTTTGAATTTATTTTTAATATTATATTTTTAATAGGCCGGGACAGGAAAAGTCCGTTAAAATTTCATAACTCCTTCATCCGCTGTCTGTTTTCGCCAGACTTTTTACCGTTGTAATACCATTGATGAGATCTTCGAGTCTCGTTTAGGTCATGTTGGCAAAAATATCCGCTCGACCTCGATTTCAAGTTTTTAGCTGTCTATTGCTATGTCTGAAACTTCGAAAAATCATAACTTCCTCATATGAAGTCAGATTTGGGTATTCTTTTTATGTGTGCTTACGGTATTGGGATATCCAAAACTTTCATTTAGATACCTAAGGATGAAAATTATTGTATTGAAACTTTGCGTTTTACGTCTATCAGTGTCGCTGATTTTCGCTGCGAATCTTAGATTGGTCATAACTTCTTCGTTATAATTCGGATTTTAGTGTTCTTTATATGCACGGAAACCTTGATACGATTCCTATCACTTCATTTAACCCAAATAAGATTTTAGGAATGCTAAATATTTACCTATATTCAACTAGTGTTACATTTCATTGTCTTGAAATATCGGGTTGTCACAGTGACAACAACCATGAGGGTATACAATAACACATACAACATGCAGCCGAATGGAAAACATACCTCGGATTTGGATGGGCATTATCAAACAGAGTACCTAAACCAACTAAGCTTTCCAGGAATACCACCACATGAGCTTCTGCTTATGGTACACTGTTCGATAATTCTGTTAAGAAACATAAATCAGAGGGAGGGGTTATGTAATGGTACGCAAATGATTGTTTCATAATTGTTACCAAGTGTTATTGAAGCGACAATCATAACTGGCACTTCCATTGGAAAACACGTATATATACCGTGCATAAAGTTCATACATAAACCATCCGATCTACCATTCATCTTCTCACGGAAACAATTTCCAGTTAAAGTTTGTTACGCAATGACTATCAACAAGAGTTAAGGGCAATCACCACGTAAAATTGGAATCTATTTGTCACAGTCTGTCTTTGCACATGACCAACTTTATGTTGCCCTATCACGAGCAACATCACCAGACTCCATAAAGATACTAATAAACACCAGTTACACAACTAAAAACAACGAAACAAAAAATGTTGTCTTCAAGGATTTACTGCATAAAGTTACTTCAACTGAGGTCTACAGTATCACTACCTCTTATAGCCTTCATCAGCGTCACTGCTTTCTATCTTATTCATATGTTCTTGACTATTTTGAACACTTTTTAGATGTTTATAGAATTTTCAATTTTTGTTAAAATATCTTCCTTACCTCCACGCATTTGTTTATAATATAGAAGACAAATGTCTAATGACGAGTATCTCAGAACTGAAAGCTAAGGGTATCGGAGGCCCCTTACAGGTTAGAATATTACGTAAACGGAAACACGACGTCCAACAATATGAGACCTGATATCTAGCTGTTGACAGATTTGTATGTTCTAACCAAAATATATTAGAATTAAAACACGTTTCAATTTGCTTTTTTTTCAGAAAATAAAAACTGAATTCCATATTTCAAACTAATTTCAAATTTCTAAGAAGCAAATTCTTAATTATCACCCTTTAATATTCACAAAGCAACTACTTTCTTGCTTAAAAAACACATATGATTACCAGACGATACAATTGAATAACAATAAAAGAACATGCTATACCATTCTATGTAATCTTATGGTGGTTTGTTTCTACAGGCAAATGCAATCCAAATTCTTGGACAATGAACAAATCAAAGCTATATTGAATATGTTTTCAGTATCAGAATGTTACATCATATCAGATTATAGTTGTCCTCAATTACAAAAGTATCAAAAAGTTCTTGAAAATGAGTTCTATATTGATGTTGGCCTCAAGTCTATCATACAACCAATTCCAGGCACAACAACGGTTCCAAAAACCTGGTTTCGCTTTGTATCAAAGTCACATCTGATAGAACTTGGAGAAATGCCACCGTACTATCCAGGTATTCATTAAAAAACTTCCATATCTGTCCCTATTCTTATTCTCCTCAACGTATCAGCAGGGGTATATTTGTCAGCCTCAAAAGTCAACAAAATTAAAGAGAGACCAAACATCAACAATTACTTTAGGTCGAAATTTCGTTATTGGTAAATTTTCACTTTATGCCCTTTTTATTATTTACCTCAAAACATCAGTAGGGGTATATTTGTCAACTTTCGGATTCAACAAAAAAAAACCCACACAGTTTTGTTCTTTGGCTGAAAACATTAGCAATGGAATATCTGTCAACTTTGGAATTCAACCAAAAAAAAAATAAATAAATAAGCCATCAACATTTGTTGGCGTCCGGCCGGTAGCTGTAAATGATATCAACATTTGTTACATACTTACATTTACTTCTAGACAGACTTCATTGGCGTTCTATCAAAGATTAGAGATTACACGAAAACAAATGGAGAAGTATTTGTGTTGCTGATACTAACCAACGAAAGGTATACATGCTAACTACCAATGTATACACATAAATTCCATTATCACCATCTAACACCAATAACAATTAAACTTTCATTAGTGGTAGTGAACTTGCAATCAATCTATGGAAACAATGCATAACCAATCCACACAAATTCAACCGTGCCTCCATAGATTGTTCGTCTACGCCAACAGTTGTTGCAGTAACAAACCTAAAACCATCAAAATCCAATGGTATGCTATTTTACATACCCCCATATATATATATATATATATATATATATATATATATATATATATATATATATATATATATACACACACACACACACACACATCATATCTTCTAATGTTTTTAATCAACAAATATGAAGGAGCATTACGGCATGGGTCATCACATGCTACACATATCTATGTCAATCCAGATATACCAGAGACAACATCACTCATAAACCTGTAAGTCACATAATTTACACAAATATCCTACATTCCACTTTATTCAAATTTATACCAACAACAACACGGTTTCAGATTCACAGGACCCTCAAGGCCAATACCAACACTATCAGGAACTCCATCAACCAAATACAATATGAAACTTAAAAACAGATATGATCTACTGGTAACAAGATTTGAATAATATTACCATCTACAAATATAATGTCTTTTATAACCTCACAATATATTGCTCTTTATGTACATGATAAAACATTCATAGTAGAAGCTTCAATCAAGGAATTTCACTTCCAAAACACCTAGTACCAAACAACATGTCCAATCTGTAAAGATCCGATTTTCAGAAGGGGCAAACAGTGGTATTGCAGTGCACATGGACTCATTGGAAAGCCAACTTACACGTAAGCATCTTCCTAAGCATGCAGATAACCATTATTGACTAACCATATTACTTACAACTTCCTTATATCAATAGATACAAATTCACAGTCACCATTATCGACACCATAGACACCATACCTGCAGTCGTATCCGAAACAGCAAGTCAGAAGCTGTTAAAATCACCGCTTGAAAAGTTTATATCTGACAGCCCGCTCCCAAACAGGAACACCCTCCCTACGATCATCACCGATAAAAAAAAACAAACAAAAACAATGTGTATCCAAATGCTGAGGGCATCAACAACCGACAACATCTGTTTCATAATAATTGACATCCAAGAATCAACAACACCATTGGAGACACCTATCACAACAACACGAGCCCAAGCACAGATGACAGAATGCGATTAGAGGACGGAACACCAGAACCGACAACCTCTCCCTGCCCTGTCGCGCGCACTCTCGCCTTCACTCCACCAGGTAAAAGACAACATAATCAAATGAAAATTAAACAGGAAAATACCAAACAAAATACTAACACCTCTCCATTACTTCTGTAACAGGGCCACTGGCACAAAAAATTCAAAAACGGACCACAAAATAGGAAGTATCGTGAAACACCACTATGAAATCCTTCTTTTGTTTCAGACAATATGTTTCTCTTTTGTAGCAAACATGATAAAATACTATCCTATGTAATATAAACTTTAATAAACGAGCACTGTTTGCATGCTTCCAGTATTCCAATATTTCACGAAAAATAACCGATGCAAATGATAATTACATAAGAAAGTCAAACCCAAAATCACACCAATATACATATACAATAAATAAATTTATATGCAACAACAATTAACAGTTACAAACTACATTAATGAAAAGTGGTACCATAACGTCAGCATTAGTACACTCAAATAGATACACAAGCTACATAGCCTATTGAAGACAACCTGATATTAATTTTGATTCTTATATCTACCCCATGTAGTCAAAGATATGCCCAGGTATTACCAAATTAAAACCACACGGAACCTAACTATCACATCTATCAAATAAAGGCAAAAAAAATATCACAACCACTCTACCTCTATAACTTTACAGAAAATTAATTAACTGCCTCTAATAAATACAGTCCAACAACCACAATTATCCCCTATAAAATCATACCCCAAGTATATGACCTTCCCCACCAAACACGAAACATACAACATGGAGACCATCATCTAGAAACTCCAAAACCAGCTTGAGACAATGAAAGAATCATTGGCAATGGTCCAAAACGCATACACCAGCATCAACGAGTCAAGACAGACTATGATAATGGAAGCACCATTGGAAATGACATACATGCATGTTGTCATCACTGAATCCTTCATCAAAGACCTCGACCACGACACCGTCATCATGCTTGATATGTTCCAGGCAATGCAGGAGAACATAAATGCAACAACAGACATCTGCGAGAAGATCATTCAAGACCACATAGCACCATGAGGAGCCATACCACTCCAACGCTTTTGTAACCAATGATAACTTTTGATGCTTATCCTCAAATATACTTATCTACTTTATAAATAGATTCTTTATATGTTAAAATAGATACGAAATACCTTTGCCAAAACTTGCAACTGATATCACATGACCACATCGGGTTCCTCTGCCCCCAGCGAAGTGGAGGTTACCAATCTAGTTATTATTATTATTATTATTATTATTATTATTATTATTAAGTTAAAAGTTATCAATTTTGGCCATACTCACAACGTAAAGAATGCTTGCTCACGTCGTGAGGAGTAATTTGGACCCGCACATCATTTTGACTATCACGACATGAGCAATCCAATGCTTATGACGTGAGAGCAGTATGAGAACCAAAACCCCTAATTTTTTTAGTATTTAAAGGATAGAGGGGGCTAGGGTTGTTCACCCTCCGCCTCCCTCACACTCTAAGCCCCAGAGGACCATGACATTTATCATCCTTGAAGTTCTTAGCTATTTTGGTGCCATTTCTAGCTTAAAAAAGGAGAGAATACAAGGAAAGGAGTAATCTATTAGTGGATTGGGCAAATTAGCAACATTATCATCATGTCTTCTTGCATTCGGACCTTTATAACTATCAAAGATCTAAACTTTATTGCATATCATGGGTAGATCTAGGATTTTGTGCACTTTCCTTTATGTTAAGCATGCTTGAGTGATGTAAAACCATAAACTTAGCAATTTTATTGATTTTAAGAGTTCCTTGATCATCATATTCTTCAGATTTGAAAGTTGGTGAGGTTTAAGAGACATTCATGAGAGTTAGAAGCATATTTCTTCACTTTTGACCTAGAATGGGTTGGATCATGCATGGAGTAAGCATGGCCATAAAGGATACGTTTTTATGGACTTTAGGAGTCCCCTTTAACTTCTGGATGAGATGGATTCAAGGAATTAATAGAATAAGGAGTTAAAGTAGTGACTTTCAGTTCCATACGGTGCTCACGATGTGAGATATAAGATCTCATGGCATGTGATTTGAATAGCACCCATTTTCTGTTAAGATCCTTGGAGCTCACAACATGAAAGTCGGTGCTCACATCATGATGTCAACTCAGGTGACTTCTTTGATTGAGTTGGCTAGGTTGAGTCGAGTCAAGTTGGAATCAGACCAAATGGACTATCACAACATGACCAAGGTCTGGTCACTCCATGAGGATGGATATTTAACATTAAGGGATGTTGACTTTGACCAGGATTTTGTCTAAGTTTAATTTAAGGGTATTTTGGATATTTTGGATTGTGTTTGAGAATTGGTCACTATTGATGGATAGGTGACGGGTATAACGGAGATTTGAAGCTGGGACCTTATCAACTATCATTTGGATTGTGAGATGAGTTTCCTCACTGTTCTTGGGGTCAAAGGCACCAATGCCGACCCCTTTGGTTATGTATCCTGATATCTAGGATGTTGCTATACAATAATAATCTGCAGTTGTATCTGCTAGTATGTAACTGGTTATATGATTATCTGTTGCTAGATATATATATATATATATATATATATATATATATATATATATATATATATATATATATATATATATATTATGTGCATGCCGACATGGTATGGTGGAGTTGAGACTATACTGCTTTGTGTTTTAAGTGAACAGTCCGTGACATTCCAACCGTAAGGTTGTGGGTTAGGGCTTTCCAACTGGAAGGTTAAGGGACAGGGGTAATCCAACTAGGAGGTTGTGGACCCGTTATGTATTAGGCATTCCAAAAATAAGATTGTGCACTAGTGCATTCCAACTGTAAGGTTGTGAGCCATGGGTAATCCAACCAGGAGGTTATGGACCTGTTATCTATTTGATTATATGTTGTGTGATGGTACTTTGGGGAAAATTCACTAAGGTTTGACTTACAATTTTAATTCATAGTTTCAGGTTCTTTTAAGGATCATGGGAAGGCAAAGGCATTAGCGTACACAATTTCCTTTCGGTTGGTAACATGTTGGTTGATTTTCCGTGGTACATATTTTCCAGCTCCAATCAGACGGAAGAAATTATCTCTTTTGCATATCACATTATATATATATATATATATATATATATATATATATATATATATATATATATATATATATATATTAAATCTCATCACAACTTATGAATAATGATAGTTTCAAGCCAATGATAGCTGGTTTGGAGTTGTGAAGTTGATATATGTTTTACTTTCTTATGTATTCCATGAAGTTGATATATAGCTGGTATGGATCGGTATGAAATGGGTACTCCTGGTAAACCAATCCATGATGAACCAAATCGAATTTACTCCTTGTGCGGTCCTGGGAAACTACGTGATGAAATCCATAGTAATGTCCTCTCACTTCCACACAGGGATATCTAACAGTTGCGTCTTTTCGTGAGGCCTCTGGTGATATGTATTGACCTTCCTGCAGGTCAAGCATCTCTTAACATACCAGGCTACATCCCGCTTCATGCAGCGCCACCAATAATTGGGACGAAGATCTCTATACATCTTCGTCGCCCTGGGATGGATGGAAAATCTGGACTTCTGAGCCTTATCCATCAAAATATATCATACTTCGCCTCAGTATGGAACCCAGACCCTCCCATGTAGGGTCAGCAGCCCACGACTATCATAGTCAACGCCACCTAGCCTATGATCTGCACACACTTCCGGCGCTCCTCCTTGATTCCCTCGACTTGCGCCTATAGGATCCGCTCCAAAAGTGGAGTCACCACTGTCATCCTCAAGTAGATGTCTCTGATCGGGGCTGCCTTACGGCTAAGCGCATCAGCCACAACATTGGCTTTCCCTAGGTGGTAAAGGATCTCACAGTCATAATCCTTCACCACATCTAACTACCAATCCTGCCTCGTGTTCAACTTCGGATTATCCATGAGGTACCTGAAGCTCTTGTGGTCTGTATAAATGGTACAATGAACCCAATAGAGGTAATGCCACAAAAACTTGAGGGTGAAGACAACCGCCCCCAACTCTAGATCGTGTGTTGGGTAGTTTGCCTCATGAGGCTTTAGTTGCCTCAAGGCATAGGCGATGGCATGCCCCTTCTGCATCAATACTGCACCAAAGCCCAAAATGGATGTATGACAGTACACTACAAAATCCTCCACGCTTTATGGCAGGGCTAAGATAGGCGCCTCACACAATCTCTACCTTAACGTCTCAAATGCTGCCTGTTTCTCAGGCCCCCAGTGAAATACAACGACCTTTTTTGTCTGTCGGGTCAAGGGTACTGCTATCTTGGAGAAGTCCTGTATGAGTCTCTGGTAGTAGCCTACTAAACCAAGGAAAATCTGAATCTCAGATGGAGAATTAGGAACCTCCCATCTCATCACAACCTCCACTTTGGTCGGGGCGACTAGAATACCGTTTTGGTTGACAAGGTGCCCTTGAAACTGCACCTCGCTTAACCGGAACTCACACTTGGAGAACTTGGCATACAATCTCTCCCTCCTCAAGTTATCCAACACCTCTTGCAAGTGCTCCTCGTGCTGCTCCTGTCCATGGAGTAAACCAAGATGTCATCGATAAAGACTATCATATACTAATCCAACATCGGTCTGCATACGCGGTTCATGAGATCCATGAACACGCCAGGAGCATTGGTTAGCCCAAAGGGCATCACCACGAACTCGTAATGACCATAGCGAGTCCAGAAAGCAGTCTTCTACACATCCTCATCTCTAACTGTCATCTGATGGTAGCCTGAATGTAAATCTATATTAGGAAAACCAAGACGCCCCCTGTAGTTGGTCGAAGAGATCATCAATCCTGGGGAGTGGGTAACGGTTTTTCACAGTTACCTTATTTAGCTCCCGGGAATCTATACACATCTGATGCGACCCATTCTTCTTGCTCACAAACAGGATCAGGGCTCC